CCTTTCACTGGGGAGCTCAGAATAAAAAGCTGGAGGAAATTTTTTTTGTTATTAACACGTGTTAAATCACAGCTAGAATTCTTTGCACTCCTTGGCTTCGAACAAAGAGTGCACAGTTACTGGGAGATGGCAAACCTGTTTGAGCTGGTGATTCCTGTGATGCTTTCCTCAGTCCAACATGAATTTGTACAAGGCCACCTTCCTCCTTTTAACACTCGAGTTCCAGATCACAGGGCTTAGCAATGAAGAGAGGATCCCAACAGCCTTGTGCTTACCTGATGAGCTCTCCAGGGAAACTGCCCCGTTAAATGCTCCCCTCTTGTGACAACATGCCTGAACTCCAAATGCAGCTACATTTGAGTGGCAAGCACCACTTTCATTTGGATTTTTTTAGGGAGGTGTGTTCCAATAACTTCAAGGGATACTGTGGTTTAAATGTGTGGTTTCTTTCCTCTCTCCTTATAAAACTGGACCTGAACACAAGTTTTGAGTTGTTGGGGTTTGTTTTTGTTTTGGGTTTGGTTTTTTTTGTAATAATCTCAGGACCTGAAAGATTGTAGCATTTAGTGTGTCTTAAAAATGATGTACTGTACCAGCCATGGATTTTGTAAATACACCTGTCTCCCTTTTTTGTATTTTAATTTTTTAAAAGTGTGTAAGGCTCTTTGCCAGAGGAACTGGTGCCTGCTTTATCTCCATCCTGAACTGAAGCAGGAAAAGGAAGAAGCTGCTGCCTCAAAAGCCCGCGTCAGTTCCAATGCATTATATTGTTCTGGTCAGTTTAATGGCTGTTAGTCCTTTGTTAGTTGGGAAGCTGGTTAGTTCCTTGCACATTCCCAGTTGTGGCTAGCAGAGCCCTGTCAGGGAGGCTAATTTTAACTCTCTTCTGTGTGACTACTTGACGTTTTCACTCCTTCCAGGTACTCAGGTTACCTATCCCTGAGCAGTCCAATGCTTTCAGAGGTCAGGACTATTGGTCCTCTGTGAGAATAACTGGAGAGCATTTCATTTTATCAGTGCTCTGATCCAAACACAGTCATGGGGTTCGTATCCTGCAAACCTTGCGGGGAACGCTGCCTTCACCTGTTCCGGAAGGGACTTGCCCTTTTCTGCTTTCCTGAAAGGAGCACAAGCTTTTTTAGGCAGCAGACTTTGCTCTGGGATCCACCCTTGCCGGCAGACCCTGTTCTGCAGTAGGAGCCTTACTCAATTTGGCGTAGCTGTTCCCTGTCCCTGACTGCGACAGGCTTTTTCATGAGTGTACTTTTCTGTTTTTCTATGTGTCACGTGTCTGTGCTGTATGAAATAAAGAGGAATGTACATATTAGCCCTGTGTCTGTGATTTCTCACAAAAATAAAAATGGGGAAAGGTTTCACTTGAAGGGTCGGCCCTCTTGGGGCTTTTTGGCGGGATTTTCTGTTTGGGGGTGGGGGCCTCCTTCCGTCAGGGCAACGGCCCGAGCAAGGGTAACACTGTGTGCCAGGACCAACGCTTAGAAACCGCAAAAGGGTCCTTGGGGCAGGAAGCCCTTCCCTGTGGGAGCACCGTGTTTTGCCGAGCCGCAGCCAAACGCCACTGAGGGACCGTGCCCCCGCCTCGGCCCCGCCTGGCCCTGGCTCCCAGGGGGCCGCGCGCGGCCGCGCCGGGCGGAGCTGCCCAATCACCGGCCTCCGATGCACACCATAAAAGGAGAAGGGGCGGGAATAGTGGATAACTAAGTGCACAGACACCACTTTCTCGCGGCAGCCCCAGTGGCCTAATGGATAAGGCATTGGCCTCCTAAGCCAGGGATTGTGGGTTCGAGTCCCATCTGGGGTGGGTACTTTTTTTTTCGCACTCGAGCCGCGCAGCTCCCCTTACGTCTGTGAGCCACTCGCTGTCTCGAGTCTGCGGCTCTTCAGCTTCTTCGTGGGCGTCTCCTTCTGGCTCCAGCGTGACCCGAAGCGTCTTTTAAACGGAGACCCCAGAAACTGGCGGGGACGCGCCCGCGGCCAAAGCCGGTTTCCCGCCGTATGCTGCGCCTCTTGGACGACTCCCGGTGCTCCCGCTCCGTTACCACAGGCCGGTTACTAGGCGTGGAGCGGGCACGCCCCGGCCTCGGCGCTCGAGCCCCAGCACTTCACCAGCGCCGATTGCAACGGCGCGGGAGGGCGGCAGAGAGTAGGAGGAGGCCATCGCTCGCTCGGCGCTCGACTGCCCGCACTGCCGGGGCGCGAGGGCGAGGCCCGGCGGCGGCGCTCGATTGGCCAGGGCGCCGCGCGCGGCTCGGAAGATGGCGGCGCTGGGAGCCCCGCTGCGCACCCTGCGCGCGCTCCTGCGCGAGCTGCGCCACGCCGCCGGCCGCTCCTATCGCGACAGCCCCGCCTATCGGCACGTGCTCGCTGGCTTCCGCGCACACCGGGTACGCGCCGCCTTCCCCTCCCAGCCCCTGCCCCCTCGGCAGCTCCCGGGACTCGGCGAAGCCTCGGGGCCGCCCTGACCGCCGCTCCCCGCAGGTGACCAGCGAGAAGCTGTGCCGGGCCCAGCAGGAGCTGCACTTCCAGGCCGCCACCTACCTGTGCCTGCTGCGCAGCGTCCGGGAGCACGAGGCCCTGCACCGCGAGTACCACGGCAGGGGAGAGCGCTCGCCGCAGGAGGTCGCCGGGCTCGTGGGCTTCAGACTGCCGCAGCAGCCGGGAGGGAAGGGCTGAGGCCGCCCTGCTGTGCTCGGTGTTTATTCCTCAATGAATAAATATATATCCTAGAGCTGCCGGAATGGGCAGGGGTCTGTAGCAGGTGCCTTTTGTCAGATACAGGTTATGGTGTGAAAGGGGTAACTGGAGACAGCCAACCCCTTCTGCCTTTATCAGGCCTCCCAGACGCCCACTCCGATCTTGTGAATGTGTCCTGACCCTTCCAAGGGTTGACAGAGAGGTTGTTTGCAGTGGAAAAACATGTCAGCCTTCGCTGACGAGCTGCTTGTCTGAGGGGTTGCAGGCGTTCGTGGTTCCCCCGCGTGATTCAAATGCGGGAGGTGAGAGAATTTGTCCAGTGTTTACTGAAGCATTTCCCAGCTATATTGTGTGTATGTGGAATTCCCTACTCTCCCAAGAACAAAGGTCTCTTCTGTGGAGCGTCTGTGGGTTCTGGTGAGCACTGCAGTAGCACAAACCTCTTCCACCTTAAAGATTTTTTTGGTTTTTACCATGGCGGTTAGTGAGCAGTAGCGTTTCAGAGAGATGAATTCTTATGAGTTACACGTTCCTCCCTGTCCCTGAGAAGTGACTGCCAGTTTCCTGTGCGTCCCTCTCCCTCTGAATCTCAGCAAACCTGAAGGGAACTGACTGGAGGCAGTCACAGGAGGTGCACAAACGGGACTCACCTCACAAATCTGGAACAGTGAGTTTCTTTTTATAAAAGTCTCGAGTTGTTGCTGTTCACAAGAGAGTGTTGTATTGTGTGCAAGATATGTAAGAAATCTATAACGAGAAGGACTTTAAATGGCTAAAAATGTGAGGTTTATCTGGGGGGAGGCCTGAAGCAACTCTAAGAAAATTAGAGTGTGTTTGTTGGGGTTTTTTTACTGCCAGGGAAAACAAAGTGTTTTGTCAGAAAAGCATTGCAAAGAGAATCAGTTCATCTGAGTCTGTTTCTTCCTTCCCCTGTATTTAAAACTTGGGAATGGTTTAATCCCCACAGTATAGTGGATAGGCACAACAGATCCTTAAAACAGGGAAAATTTGGGCTTCTAGGTAAGTCAAGGAGATGTGAACTACTAGTTTTAGGGTTCGGTTGACTAGAATTCCAGTTTGCAATTCTCACAAGTTAAATGGTGTTTTTTTTCCAAAAGCCTTGATATGATGGGTGGAAAAGTATCAACCCACTTTCAGCTCAGTAGATGAAGTTGTGGGATGTCACCACACACTGAGAATGGCTGTTACACACTGCTTGTTCAGCATTATTAAATGAAAAGCGCTGCATTCTGTAGTATATTGCTTGAGAAGGGAAATTTAAAAATAAACTAAAGAAAAAAGCAATCATTTGGCCAGACACAGATGCTCTTTAAAGAGTAGAAGGAGCTAAAGTGTGTATGGTGTTGGTGTAAATAATCAGTAAAAATTCTAAATTTCCCCTAAGCATACCAAGGTACCTAAACAGACACTTCTAACAAGCATTGGTGTCTCTTCCATTTACTTCCCCTTCAATCCAACGTGATGACTAACAAAAGTAAATTTAGATTTTAAAGAAAAAGCAAAGCCAGGACATATCCTAATTAGCTGAAGAGCACTGGGTAGAGAATCTTTTCCTGAATGTGTTACAGAAGAGCATCTTCTCTACAAGTCCTTCTGAAGTAGAGATAATTGGGGTGAGGGGGGTTATTGTTAGGGGAGGTTGCCTGTGGCCATTTTTCACTCGTATGGAGCTAACCTTGAACACGACAACGCTTGGGGACGATTACAGCTGATCTTTGTGACGTGTTTGGGCACTAGATGGCAACACGATGGTTTTCAAAGGAAGAGTCACAAAATGCAGGCGTTAGAATGGGTAAAATTCGGGGTTTTTTTAATGGACCTTGGTGCCCTGTAAGTCGAATTATCAGCCAAATGTGCCGACAGCCTGTTTTAAGGGATGTTCTCCAATTAGCGGGGTATTAACTTGTCTCACCACGACTGTACTCGCACATGGGGGAAGCAGGGGCCGTGGCAGTGGTGCTGCACGCCAGTCCAAGGGGATTGTCCTCAGACGGGAATTGTCCCCAAGCGGGCTCCGGAGCCGCCCGGGACCCCAGCCCCGCCCGGCGCCGCCGCTGACCCGGAGACCGTGACGTCACATCGGCCACGAGGGCCTTTCTGGCCAATCAGCGCGCCCCAAGGGCCCAGACGGGCGGCCTAATCAGGAGCTTCGCCGCTCGGTGCGTCACTGGCCGAGCGGCGCAGGCCGTGGCCAATGGGCGGGTGCCGAGGCCCGTCCGTGCTGACGTCGCGGAGCGGACGAAGGAGCGCAAGGCGCGTGCGCGTGGGTTTCCGTTCCCGCCGGCGCGCGCGCGTGGCAGGCGCGGGAGGGAGCGGGAGTGAGGGAGCGTGTAGGGGCGCGAGGCGGCGGCACCGGCACGAAGCGAGTTTCCCGCTCCGCTTCCCACCGGGAAAGCCGGGCGGGGGCAGCGCCCGTTCCCTCCCTCCCCCCGCGGCGGCGGGGGAGCGGCCCCGCCTGTGACGCGAGGGGCAGGGCCGAGCGCCCGCCGCGCCTCGGGCCTTGTAGGCCGCTGTTGGCGTGACTCGGCCGGGCCGCGCCGGCCCCCCCCGCGCTCAAGATGTCGGCGCAGGCCCAGATGCGCGCCATGCTGGACCAGCTCATGGGCACGTCCCGGGACGGTAAGTGCCTCCCCGGCCGCGGTGGGGCGGGGAGGAGGGAGCGGAGCCGCCGCCGCCCCGGAGGTCACGGCGGTACCGGCCGGGCCGGGCGGTGTGCGCCGTGATTGGCAGGCCCGAGGCCCGTTGTCCGCACCCCCCGCGGGGCGGGGCTGCCGGGACCGTCGGCGGCGGGGTGGGGGGAGCCGGGCGCCGCCTCCCCCCGCGGAGCTGCCGGCGCCGGCCGCTGTCCCAGGGCCGCGCTGGCGGTGCTGCTGCTGTTGGAGATCCGCTCCTGGCGGTGTCCGCGGCGTGCAGCCTTTCCGCCCGGCCACCGTACAGGGGCACACACGCTTGAGATGCTGATCACCGAGGGGAGGACCAAAAAAATATCCCCGGACCAACAGCCCCTTCAGCGGAGCAGGGTGGGGTTTTGTGTCATTACAGACTTGTCTGAATTCTGGCTCGAACCATCACGTTAGCCAGCAGGCGGGTATGGCTCTTGCTTTCTGAAAGACAATGTGAGATTGACCTAAGTAGATAAACTTTAAAAAAAAAAAAAGCGCAATAAATAGCCAAGTAAAAGCTTAACGTCTGGAGGCAGTCATTCTCAGAGAGAGATAGGAGATGTACGGTAGGGTTTCAGATCGCTCTGCTATCACACAGTGTTGAGTATTGCTGCGTAAAGCTTTCTGCAGTTTTTGTCGGAGTACACGGCGATCAGCTTGAAGTCTGAACCGGCAGTCGCCCATAAATCCAGGTAGTTGGGGAGGCTGCTAGAGAAGAGCAGTTCCGCTTAGGCTGTGCAGTTCTTAACTTGCAAACAAGAGAATTCTGCACCCCAGGGTAGGCAGCAATTAGAGATAATTTAGATGTTCTGCATGTGGTACTCATACTCAGTCTGTACTCACTCTTGCAGACGTGTTATGTTTGTGGAATTAACTTGTTAAATTAATGGTTCCCTGCTCCCCCGTGCGCTGAGTGTGATGTGGAAGTGGGACGTACCTTGTATGTCCTGATCATCTCTGGTTACTGGCCTCATGTGAAATGACAGCTTCCTTTAGTATAATCCAGAATTTCGAAAAATGTAACTGGTTTGTGCATACTCCTTGTATCATGAATGCTTTCTGCAGAGTTCTAAATTACTGTTCTGCGAAACTTGTCTTCCAGAGTAAGGCTGTTTAGTGAGTTGTCATCATACAGGATCTAATTTGGGGTGGTTTGTCTTGCTTCAGAAGATTTTCCAATACTTCCTGTTGTGGCTGCATATGTCTGAGTGCTTGGCAAAGCAATATTGTGCTTATGGAACTTAAATGTTGGCACCTAGATCGCTGTCTCAGTGCTACCCTAACATTACACAGAAGGTTTAAGGGGGGTGGAGGAGCCGTTTCAGTTTCTGAAAGTATTTTCTGTTGGATGGTGGGAGAGGAGTGTCATTTACTTTAGACAGCTGCCCAGAAATGTTAAGTGACTAAAATCTAAACCAAGAATAGCCATTTCAGGCTATATTTTCTCTGGCTTTGTAAGAAGGCAGTTATTGTATTGATGATTGTATTCCCCCTTTCTCCTGCTCACCCTGTAATTCCTAAACCACATGTGCTGAACTGTTCACAAACTAACTGGCTAGAAAGGAAGCATTTAAACAAAATGGGCAGGATGGGGAAGGATAGGGAGAAAAGATGATTTGTAAAGCTGGTTTCCATGATTGGATTGAGGATCTCTGTGTAACACCGTTCCAGTTCACAAAAAAAAAAGTCCAGTGGAGCTGGAGCATCAGCATCATTTATACTGAATTGTACACAGAGATTGAAAATGAACCTTTTTTTGCAGAGCTGGTATGTAAGAAACCAAGGCCAGGCTCAAGGTCATTGAAATATTGCTAACCTTGAGAATAGTGGAGTTTGGGGTCGTTAGGTGTTTTTATATTCCTGTTACCTTTGACAAATAGTCTGTTTCTGTTAACATGCAAATTGCAGCTTTTCATTAGAATGTGTCAATTTTTTAATTTCTTGGTAGGTCAGAACATTAATTTCATCATTTGTCCCCATTGCCTTTGATTTTGCTCCCCCTGGCAATACATTAGAGTTTAAAATGCAATAGTGTTTCTGAAAAAATAATCTTTCTTGGACAATGTTTTTGTTTTATATTATTCAATATTACAATCGTGCTTTTTAGCTTTATACTTTACAAAGTCTGGCAGATCTTTTTGTCTTGTTCGAGGTTTTTTTGAGAAGCCTAGAATATGAAGGCTTAAAAATCTTACCTGTTTTAGAAAAGGAAGATCAAACATTTGATCTTGTCAGTGGGAATAGAAAAAAATCAGAGGTAAATTTAAAACAAGACCGTGCCTGAATATGTGTAGGAGTTTTTTCCCTTTTAGGTTTTAGTATCATTTGTAGAAAATATGAACATGCTCTGAAAATGCTTTTGAAAATTCCACAATCAGATGCTCAAGCATGGTTTAGGAGTTGAGCTGTAGGCTGTGATTTGTGGGACAATGCACACACTCATTGTGCCTGGTGTCCCTAGGGCCAGAAGGGAAAAGCCTGGAAGGTGCAGTGATTAAGTGTTCTTATAGATTTGCTGTGAAGCTCTGAGAACACCTAGAAAGCACAGCTCCTATTGATCGCAGCGATTCAGAAAACAGCCACAAGGCTGTAAGAATGGTAATGAGAAATCATCGCTGCTAGAGAGGAGACTTCTGTGTCAGACCGGGCTGCCCGGCATGCGGCCGCCCAGAAGGGGCTGTGCTGCCCCTGCCCCTGGCCGTGCCCTTTCCCAGGGCTGTGCTGCCCCTGCTCCTGCCCCTGCCCTTTCCCAGGGCTGTGCTGCTCCTGCCCATGCCCTTTCCCAGGGGTGTGCTGCTCCTGTCCCTGCCCGTGCCCTTTCCCAGGGGTGTGCTGCCCCTGGCTATGCCCTTTCCCAGGGCTGTGCTGCTCCTGCCCCTGGCCGTGCCCTTTCCCAGAGAGCCCTGTGCCTGTGGCAGGGACAGCTGAGAGCTTCCCCCCTTCCTTGGCAGCCTGCTGCCTCCCTGGGCTGTTTGGGCAGCAGGATGGGCGCGCTTGCAGCCGCAGGGCTTGGCTGGAGGTACTGCCAGGATGTGGGGTCGGCAGCCCCTTGGCAGCTGCCAGGCCCGGTGCTCCCTGCTCCCAGCTTGCCTTGGCTCATGTGACAGACACCTGACAGACAGTGGGACTGAGGGGACTTGGCTGCTGCTTCTCAGGACTTGCCAGTGAGTTGCTGTTCTTAGAATGCAGCTGGGTTAACTGAAAAGCAGTTGGGTTGGTGAGGTCAATGCAAAGAAATGTCTGAATGGCAGGAGTGGTTCTTTTCACACCTGAGAAAAACATATTAATTATTATTTAAAAACACGTGAGTTTTTTAAAATACATTGCATATTACCTAGGTTAATCTTCTCTTGCACACTTCTCTGACAAGTGGAAAGCTGAATTGGATGTGGACTGTGCCAAAATTAAAAAACAATTCAAAGTATCTTTGATTTCGATGCTAGTAAAAAGCTGGGCTTTTTTTAATATAGTCATGACTGCAGACTGAAAAAAAATCTCTGAAATGGCATTCCAAGTACTGATAACCTGTCATACTTAGAGAGGCTTTAAATATAAATTACTGAATATATAATCCGGGTTTTCCAAATATTAAGAGATAAGTAGTGCTGAAAACCAGGTGCTAATCTTACGTGCTTATATATTAATATTTTTGTTTGGGGTTTTTTTACTGTTATCACTTGAACTAAAAGAGTTTTTATTCTGTATATCAATAGTTAAAAGGTTAGTTCAAGCTGATTTTTTTTGTTGTTGACTGGAGCTGCAGAAACTTGTCATTTAGGAGTACATAGCACATAGAGAGGTATTAGTTTAATTTTTTAAAATACTGGTTTTGAACTAAAAGTTGAGTAAGCTTTTTTTAATAGTACACTTAGGTAAACCCTGCTTTTGCTATCCCTGTTCTCCAGAAAACAGGAGTGAACCTTACAGATAGGATCATAACTGTAAATTGAGTCACTTGCAAATTGAGTGAAATGTTAACAATTGATATTAGTATCCCCAGGATTGGGTCTTCTTCCATAATATAGTTTAAATGGGCAAAGATTGAAAAAACTTTGCTGTAAAAGGTCTTATGGGGAGGATCCCATTTGATCTTGAATCAGTTTATCTTGCCCAAGTGTTTCATTTCCACCAGGTCAGTCATGTGCTGTGCCTTGCTGCAGGAGTGAATGCTGGAGTCAGCCCGAGGAGCTGGCTGGGAGCAGAGGGTGGAGCAGGATCCTTACTTGTGACAGCAGTGACAGACACAGCAGATCCCAATGGCCCTGGTGCCACAGAACATCTTGGGGCTGCCAAGGCTTGACTGTTGCAAAGAAATGTGATGGTGGTTTGCATTTTTAAAATAATTGCCACCTCTTCAAAATTAGACCACAGTCTAGAAATAGGAAAATCTAGCAAAGTTATTTAGATTCTTGTCTTGGTTTGGAAAGACAGGTGCTTGCTAAGGAAGGCAGGAGCTTCCCCTGAAATGGAAAATGTTAAACACCCCCCCTCCGCTCCAAATTGCTATACATTTTAAATTAAGGGGCTCTCAGGCAAAAAAAATATGGGCACAGGAAATAACAGTTCTTTAATAGGGAAGAAAATAAAGGATAAAATAAACTGTGCTGCAAACTGAAACAACACTGACAGAGTCAGAACACAACCTGACAGCCTGTGGTCAGGGTGTTATGTTAGCAGCAGTCCCATTGGAATTGTGGCTGCAGCCCTCCTGAAGTGTCAGGTGTGGTTCTCTTGGAGCAGGGATCCTGTAGAAAGGTGTAGTCTCCCTCTGAAGGTCCAGTGGAAGAGGAGGCAGCTGCTGTTCCTCTGGGAAATCCAGTGGAGAAGCCGTGCTGGTGTTCCAGAATCTCCAGATTGTATCTGGGTAGCAATGCTTGGCTCCTCCCTCTGGGCAGAGCATCTCACAATGGGTTGCTGTAGTTCTTATCAGACATGCAGTGACGTTCAGCAGCCTGT